AGTTAAACGAGACCTCAATGCAAAATTTCCAGCAAAGAAGTTCAGTATTCTAACATTTTGGCCACTATTTCATCAGCCCTCATCAGGAATTGTAGAATGGAAAAACCGTTCTATAAATGGAATGCCTTTGCGTTCTAATGTTAAAGTAAAAGTTTCAAATATGTTTGAATACAGGCTGTGACATATGTTATATGACATTATTATGAGTCTAGATAGTATTTCCATGCATTTGGTTCATGAATGGCATCTGTGTTGATGCATGCTCCATTTTGTCTGCCCTGTAGATCTCTACAGCTTCTAACGTTGTTTTGTTGGTCTTTGACCAGCAAAACAACATTAGAATGCCTTTGTGTTCTATTTATAGAACGGTTTTTCCATTCCACAGTTCCTGACGAGGGCTGATGAAATAGTGGCCAAAAACGTTAGAATATTGAACTTTGATGCTGGAAATTTTGCATTGAGGTGTAATTTCTTATTTACATGTATAGCTACAGTTTTCTGGTACAGTTGGTGGTTATTCGATGTTTTTTTTTTTAAAGTAGAAGATATTTTTACTTTGTTACTTTTTGTGTAAAAATTTTTTTAAAAATTATAACAATAATAATTTAAAGCAAAGTGTATTATTGTTTATTAGATTCTCTTGTCAAGTCACTTAACATAATGACCTACCAGAAGTGATCAATTCAAATATTAAATAAAACCAATAATAAGTTGTTGGAAAATCAATACTAATTTGTTTTTATACATTTATCTCATTTAATTTGTAATAAATTTAAAATCTAATAATTTCATAAAAAATTTGAAATTTCTCAATTAAAGTTCACACATCACTATGAAACAACGGTTCCAACTAAGCTTTATGTTCCATTGACAGAATATGCTCAATTTGAAGCAGACTGTTTCTCTGTTTTAAAACTGTCTAATTTTTTAATTTGTAATGCAATATTAAGTAATGGTTACATTTTGATAACAAATCTCAAAACACAAATAAAAACCATTTTTAATTAATTAAAGTGTTAATATAATACATAGGCTGTTTTTTTTCAAGCTCCGATGGTCCATAAAAAAGGCAAGTGTAAATAACAAAATAATTTATTACCAAAAGTAAGGTACAAACATGGTTACTTTTTGACATAATCACTGTGAAATTTGAAATTTTGATGTAATCACTGTGATTGTTGTTATTCTCAAACCTCTGCCCTCCTAGCCACTTTTTCTGTTCAGGAAAGATGTGAAAGTTGCTTGATTCTAAATTGGGGCTATACAATGGGTGTTTAAAGATGGTGAAGACTTACACCCAGCTTGGAACTTTTTAATGTGTGAAGACTTCCACCTCTTTCCTGAACTGAAAATATGGCTAGCAGGGCAGAGGTTTGAGACTAATGCAATCTTTAAAACAATGTTGTTAAGGCTATCTCAATTCACTGGTGGCAACATTCTGACAAGGGGATGGAAAAGCTTGTCGAAAGATATGAAAAATTCCTCAATATTCACAGTGATTATATCAAAAAGTAACCACGTTTGTACAGTACCTAACTTTTGGTAATAAATTAGTTTTGTTATTTACACGTATTTGTTTTATGGATCATCAGAGCTTGAAAAAAAAAACTGCCCTCATACAAACATTTCCAAAGCTTTTAGTTATTGTTCAATATTTGTTCAAAAGAAACAAACCTTTCCTTTTGAACTATTATATAATGTATTATTAACTTATTATTTTTATTTTTTATCCTTTGACAATGGCCAAGTAGTGTTTGTAGAGTCAAGAGAGATGTTTTTAGTTTATTTCTAAATATGGAAATCGGATCTAGAAGATGCGTCGATGCGGATAGTCTTGGAATATGTCGGAAGACCTTCGGCTTGCGAATCGCATCATATAACAATTGTGTTAAAATGTTATCTAAGTAATTATTTATGCTTATTTTTTTTGCATACTGCAGAAATATACAAAGAAACTCAAGTTCTAGATATGATATTTCTTAAATTTTGTATCAAATCTCTGGATGAGAAATGAAAAAGAAATACAGTAGAGCGTCGTTTATCCGAAAGTCAATTATCCAAAAGAATTCCATTCGGCAAATTTAAATTTTCGCCAGTGCTGTGGCGCTGCAATCTTTGGCTATGTCTTGGGCTACTCAAATATTTTACGTTTTTGATACTAAATTAACTTCTGAAGTATAATTTTTTATTGATTTTATATTTTTCAATATATTTATTTTGTTCGTACAAAATAAAAAAATAATTTTTAACGATACAAATGTCTTCGTTAGGCTTAACATCGACGAAAATTCACGCGAAGCGACACGCAACGGATAAAAATTTCGACATCGGATACGTTAAACTATTTCAATATATTTATTTTGTTTGTACAAAATAAAGAAATAATTTTTAACGATACAAATGTCTTCGTTAGGCTTAACATCGACGAAAATTCAACGCGAAGTGACACGCAACAGAGAAAAATTTCAACATGGGTTAGATTCTGATTCTGCAATTCTGATGCACTTTTTTCGTACATAATCAGTTATCCGAAATATCAATTTTCCGAACAACCCCAGTCTCCAATTGATTCGGATAAACGACGCTCTACTGTATTTCAATATTTTACTAAAATATCCTCTGAGATCACAGAGAGCATTCTTGGACTCTGGGCTAGAATTTTTTGCACCTCTACACCTTCTGATGTGACTTGCTTGGTTTATCACACTTTTTCTTGTTTTGGTACTAAAAGTATGTAAATTGATTTTATAGATCATGTAGTTAAAAATCCTATTGTTTGGATTCTGGCCAGAGTTCCCATTTTTCCTCTCTTGTTAATCGTCTTGTCTTTCAACTTTACAAATTAATCAATCTGAAGATTTATCACTTGTAGAGATTAAGCTATCAATTTTAAAATGTGTTAATTTGGCTAATTGGTTCTTCAAAGTTGTAGCCAAATCGAGATGGCATAAAATACTTTTTATAAAATTGAGTGTCTTTATTATTTTATAGTTTATTATTAAAAAAATCGCACCGTGATAAAAAAAATACCTTAAAATACAGTGATATTTTTGATTTTTGAATGTTTTTGTATGAACCTTCTTCAGAATAAAATGGCGATCAAATGACTATTTTCATTTGAAACATAAATGTATAACTGACAAAAATAATTATGACCTCTTTATGGCTGTGATGTAACATAAATCATACATAATCCTATAATCCAGGATCACCGAGCACAATGACGACATTCGGAAACCTAAACCAGTCAGTCGTTACAGTCAGGCATTACGTAAGTTGCAATTCCTTCACAATTGAATGGAACCATGCCAGAATAGTACAGAGAGTACACAATACATTAAATATACAAATGCACTTTTATAAGTTGATATCCATAGGACAATCCATTAATTACAAAGACTAAAACACGTTATCGACAATTTGGAAAGCATTACTACATCTGGACTTCAAATGATGCTTGGGTAAAAGTACAAAAGCATACAGAGAAATTACCAAGCATACAAGCATTTTTGTGTATTTTTAATTTTATTTCTATTTTTATCGTTTTTGGTATTCTGCATTTTTTATCTTTTTATTTGATTTGTGTGTTGTTTGGTATTTTAGTCGTCGTGTATTTTTCATTATCATATTATTTAAAAGTCTGATATTCTCTTGTTTTGAATTTTTTGTTCTAGAATCAGTATTTCAATTATATTCATCAGAAATGCATTTTATGTTCACTTGTTTTGAATGAAAGCAGTCATTTGATTGCCTTTTTATCCTAAAGTAGGTCAATACAAACCAACCGAAAACATTCAAAAATTAAAAATATAACTACATTTGAAGGTTTCTATCGTGGTGTTCTATCTAATGTAAGTTCAGTATCCAAAGAAATAATATTAAAATACTATAGATTTATAGGTTCAACTCATTTGTCTTCTACATTTACAATATTTAAAATTTGCTTTTTAATATAATCTTTAATTGTAGTTTAAAAAATTATTTGTAATTTTTTACATTCTAGGCTCATCTGTGGTTGTACGACCGCTGCTCTCCTGTGGGCCGCCGGGACGTCAGTCGAAGAATTGAGATACTGGCATCACGAATATTGGGAAAAGGAATACATGTGAGTATTTTTAATTGACATAGAATCTTTTATTACAGCTCCTACAAAATAGAATTGTAATTTGATTACAAATTGTTCTAATTTAAGTACTTTTTATAAAAATGTACTGTATTTTCGCAGAATGATTGGCATGCCAGTTAAACTGTGAGACTAAAATATAAAATTAATCATATCTAATAAAACTAGTTGTTAATTAAACATTAAAGAAAATATTCTTCCCAGTGCAATAAAATAACAATGTAAATTTAATTGCCTTACTGTCCTTAATCGTACTTTATTTTTGAAAAAATTGTTGTGGACTTATTGGATTAATAGGACAATTACACTGGTGTATTAGTTATCAACACAAGGAGGAGTTCATAATTTTTAAATAAAGATTTTTTGATTTTTCTGATTATGAATTCCTCCTTGTGTTGATAACTAATATACCAGTGTACGAGGGTAGTCCCAGAAGTACCCGACTTAACAAAGAAGACACAAAAAATTTGGTAAAACATATCTTTATTTTTCAACATAATCTCCTTTTAGCTCGATACACTTTTTCCAGCAATGTACAATAGCTTCGATCCCCTGTTTTTAGTGAGAACTGTTGAGCTTCTCAAAATAGCCATCAACTGCAGACTCCACCTCTTCATTGTTGGCAAATCTTTTATCACCAAGCCATTTTTTTAAGTTTGGAAAGAGAAAATAATCCAAGGAGGCTAAATCTGGCCAATAGGGTGCATGAGGAAGCAATTTGAACCTTAACTCATTGATTTTGGCCATTGCAATAACGGATGTGTGAACTGGTGTGTTGTCTTGATGAAACAACACTTTCTTCTTCGCCAAATGTGGCCGTTTTTTNAACAAAATTAGCAATTAGGATTAATTACTTTATTGAGAATTAATTTTATAATTTAAAAAATTTTGAATTAGCTGTATGTGGTAGTATATGGAAACTGAAGCTCGGTATTCGGGCTACGGCAGTCGGATGTGCCACAGGAGGAACATTAGGGTAAGTAATATAAATTAAATGACAAACATCAATTAACACATTTAATAGATAAATAATTAATGTAAGTGAAAATAACTAAACATCAAGATGATAAATTTGATTTAAAAGTAAGAAAAATTAACAGTTTACATTGTTTTCACATTTTCATTCTTTTCATACCTCAGGAACAACAAAGTCATGTTAGCAGAGTCAATCTTTATTTGAAGGCTCTAAATGCTAATGAGAATTTATTATTCCTAAGGCAAAGTAAAAATACTGTGAACTTTTTAGTAAAGCCCCACTACTACTACTACTAATTATTATTATTATTATTTAAATTCTAAGTAATTTGGTGCTAGAGTTCTGGAAGTGAAGATTGAATGAACAGTAGTATAACTAGCAATGCATCCGCATAGTAAATGAGAGTTGCAGGTTTGTACCCTGTTTCAGGCCAATTCTTTTCATCCAGAAACTTCTAAATTAATTTAATCATAGTTATTAAATTTAGCAAAGGATGGTGCCTAATGTCTGCCTCTAGTGCCAAATTATTCAGCATTTAATTAATAATAATAATAGTATTATTGCCTTATATATATTAAAGTCAAACAATTATAACTGTTGAGTTTAAGTTATTGTATTTGAACATTTTAGTGTTTTCACCATAAATACTTAGAAGCCATTGAAATCTACAGGGCACTTGAGAATGGATTAATTTTAAAGAAACAAACACACTGTACACAGTGTGGCATGCTTTCTTTGAACTGGCAAAGTTTTTCTTTCTTTTTCAGATGCCTTGGATAGTTCTGACTCATATGCTTTATATATATATATATATATATATTATAAATGAGGATGTTTGTTTGTTCAATATACATTCCTAGGCCATTCAACCAATTGCTACAAAACTTGGCAGTTATGTTCACATACTTCTAATTTAGATAATGTTGTCATACATCCCACCCCAAAATATCTATTGGATTTCTATAAATCAATAAATTTCCATCTACATTCAATTTGCTGGCTTTACATGTAATGCCATCTATTGGCAAAAAATTAAGAAAATAATTAATTAAATATAATTCTTACAAAAGGGACATAATTTTAAAAAATATATATATTATATTCACTTAATTACTGCAATGATAAAATAATGCAAAATAGACATGCTATATCATTATTGCAACATGTAGAATATAGCACTTGCCTGTGTGGAATTGAAAGTGTTATCCTGTGAAAAGTCTATAAGTATTTAAGTTTCCATGTCTAACAACTTGGGTTTTTTCATTTCTGAATGATACTTTCTTAATTCTAATAAGCATCCTCCAGTAACTGTGAGTAGGTAAAACCATTGAACACTGGTCGTTAGTTGTGGATTTGGGCAGGGCCAACAGGCTGGCCACGTGGAGTTTCCAGGTTTTCTTCACATTAGTAATACCTAAATAGGGTCCAGGTTCCCATAAAAGTTTTACCAGAATGCATCCCCCTTGGCAGATTGTGTTGCCATAACCAAATAAACCAAACTATAAGATTACTGCATGGAGGAATCTACATGCATTACTGAGGAAGTGTAGCCAAACCCAAGAAAGTCATTGTCAAGCTCCTAAGTGGGCTTCTTCCCCCTTGTTACATCTTCCTCCATTGCAGCAAAAGCATCTTTATCTGCTGCGCTAAGTAAATTGTCCCCTAATGGGTACAGTTTCAACAAAATGGATGTTGTCGCTCTCTACTCTCTCTCCCTCAATTTGAGGCAGTTGTGCTTGTCAATATTCTACTCATCAAGGAATGCTTTTCTGCACAGCAAATCTTAGAGATCCGTGAGGTTTTACTTTTTGTTACCAAACATAATTACTTTCAGTTTAATGGGAAAGTATACCTACAAAAATGAGTCCTAATGAGCTCGCCACTGTCTTCTATACCAGTGGAAATAGTCATGAGGCATGTTGAGCAAAAGATTTTTAGTTATCCCTCATGATAGCATACCCACTAATATATTTGAGATATGTAGACGACATTCTCTTAGCCTTAAACAGTTATGTCAAAGAAAAACAGTGTTATTATAAACTTCAAATCTGCTATAGAAGTTTGACACAGAATCTGCTTAACCTGACATAGGCCACTGAATGTAGCCAAAAATATTTGTTTTTTAAACAGTGAATGATAGAAATTGAGAGAAAGGTTAAATTTTCATGTTTATAAGATAGTTCCAGCTTTAGCAGTTAATAAATTTATTTTCCACTAGCTGTACCATTTTGAGCCACACATTGCTGTGGCTCAAAATGTATTTATTATAAATGTATAACACTCCCGTGGGGGAATTTCAAAAAAATCCCTTATTAGTGTACATTCTCTTGATGTACCCTATTAAAATGCAATCAAAAACACAAAAAACCGCATCTAAAATATTATAATAGACCAGTTCTTCACGTTAAGTCTTAATTTTGTCCCTCTCCCTCTCCCACATGTGGGGGAATTTCAACATCTATATAATATAAAAACACGTGCGTATTCAAATGCAATGCAATGTTGAGTCAAAATTTCAAAGCAATTGGTTAAGAACTTTTGGAGATTTAAGATTTTGAACAAACGAACATTTACATTTTTACTTATATAGATTTAGGTGGCAGGTTTCTGTTTTTACTGGATTCATTTAGACATATTTTACTGTTCAAATATCAAAAACTCCTTATAGATTGAAGTTTCTGTACATTACATCCTGAGAACCTTTGTTTGACTCCAATGAGTCCTGTATGTAGAAAACAGACTAACATTTTTGATCCTTCTCTCTCTCTCTTTGGATCATCCTAGGGTCAGTTTTTCTTATAAAAGTATGAATCCAAAACAAACTTAATTAAGAGTTCCATATGGATATTTTTTTTATGGAATATCTAACAAAGTGGAGTTAAACGAGACCTCAATGCAAAATTTCCAGCAAAGAAGTTCAGTATTCTAACATTTTGGCCACTATTTCATCAGCCCTCATCAGGAATTGTAGAATGGAAAAACCGTTCTATAAATGGAATGCCTTTGCGTTCTAATGTTAAAGTAAAAGTTTCAAATATGTTTGAATACAGGCTGTGACATATGTTATATGACATTATTATGAGTCTAGATAGTATTTCCATGCATTTGGTTCATGAATGGCATCTGTGTTGATGCATGCTCCATTTTGTCTGCCCTGTAGATCTCTACAGCTTCTAACGTTGTTTTGTTGGTCTTTGACCAGCAAAACAACATTAGAATGCCTTTGTGTTCTATTTATAGAACGGTTTTTCCATTCCACAGTTCCTGACGAGGGCTGATGAAATAGTGGCCAAAAACGTTAGAATATTGAACTTTGATGCTGGAAATTTTGCATTGAGGTGTAATTTCTTATTTACATGTATAGCTACAGTTTTCTGGTACAGTTGGTGGTTATTCGATGTTTTTTTTTTAAAGTAGAAGATATTTTTACTTTGTTACTTTTTGTGTAAAAATTTTTTTAAAAATTATAACAATAATAATTTAAAGCAAAGTGTATTATTGTTTATTAGATTCTCTTGTCAAGTCACTTAACATAATGACCTACCAGAAGTGATCAATTCAAATATTAAATAAAACCAATAATAAGTTGTTGGAAAATCAATACTAATTTGTTTTTATACATTTATCTCATTTAATTTGTAATAAATTTAAAATCTAATAATTTCATAAAAAATTTGAAATTTCTCAATTAAAGTTCACACATCACTATGAAACAACGGTTCCAACTAAGCTTTATGTTCCATTGACAGAATATGCTCAATTTGAAGCAGACTGTTTCTCTGTTTTAAAACTGTCTAATTTTTTAATTTGTAATGCAATATTAAGTAATGGTTACATTTTGATAACAAATCTCAAAACACAAATAAAAACCATTTTTAATTAATTAAAGTGTTAATATAATACATAGGCTGTTTTTTTTCAAGCTCCGATGGTCCATAAAAAAGGCAAGTGTAAATAACAAAATAATTTATTACCAAAAGTAAGGTACAAACATGGTTACTTTTTGACATAATCACTGTGAAATTTGAAATTTTGATGTAATCACTGTGATTGTTGTTATTCTCAAACCTCTGCCCTCCTAGCCACTTTTTCTGTTCAGGAAAGATGTGAAAGTTGCTTGATTCTAAATTGGGGCTATACAATGGGTGTTTAAAGATGGTGAAGACTTACACCCAGCTTGGAACTTTTTAATGTGTGAAGACTTCCACCTCTTTCCTGAACTGAAAATATGGCTAGCAGGGCAGAGGTTTGAGACTAATGCAATCTTTAAAACAATGTTGTTAAGGCTATCTCAATTCACTGGTGGCAACATTCTGACAAGGGGATGGAAAAGCTTGTCGAAAGATATGAAAAATTCCTCAATATTCACAGTGATTATATCAAAAAGTAACCACGTTTGTACAGTACCTAACTTTTGGTAATAAATTAGTTTTGTTATTTACACGTATTTGTTTTATGGATCATCAGAGCTTGAAAAAAAAAACTGCCCTCATACAAACATTTCCAAAGCTTTTAGTTATTGTTCAATATTTGTTCAAAAGAAACAAACCTTTCCTTTTGAACTATTATATAATGTATTATTAACTTATTATTTTTATTTTTTATCCTTTGACAATGGCCAAGTAGTGTTTGTAGAGTCAAGAGAGATGTTTTTAGTTTATTTCTAAATATGGAAATCGGATCTAGAAGATGCGTCGATGCGGATAGTCTTGGAATATGTCGGAAGACCTTCGGCTTGCGAATCGCATCATATAACAATTGTGTTAAAATGTTATCTAAGTAATTATTTATGCTTATTTTTTTTGCATACTGCAGAAATATACAAAGAAACTCAAGTTCTAGATATGATATTTCTTAAATTTTGTATCAAATCTCTGGATGAGAAATGAAAAAGAAATACAGTAGAGCGTCGTTTATCCGAAAGTCAATTATCCAAAAGAATTCCATTCGGCAAATTTAAATTTTCGCCAGTGCTGTGGCGCTGCAATCTTTGGCTATGTCTTGGGCTACTCAAATATTTTACGTTTTTGATACTAAATTAACTTCTGAAGTATAATTTTTTATTGATTTTATATTTTTCAATATATTTATTTTGTTTGTACAAAATAAAGAAATAATTTTTAACGATACAAATGTCTTCGTTAGGCTTAACATCGACGAAAATTCAACGCGAAGTGACACGCAACAGAGAAAAATTTCAACATGGGTTAGATTCTGATTCTGCAATTCTGATGCACTTTTTTCGTACATAATCAGTTATCCGAAATATCAATTTTCCGAACAACCCCAGTCTCCAATTGATTCGGATAAACGACGCTCTACTGTATTTCAATATTTTACTAAAATATCCTCTGAGATCACAGAGAGCATTCTTGGACTCTGGGCTAGAATTTTTTGCACCTCTACACCTTCTGATGTGACTTGCTTGGTTTATCACACTTTTTCTTGTTTTGGTACTAAAAGTATGTAAATTGATTTTATAGATCATGTAGTTAAAAATCCTATTGTTTGGATTCTGGCCAGAGTTCCCATTTTTCCTCTCTTGTTAATCGTCTTGTCTTTCAACTTTACAAATTAATCAATCTGAAGATTTATCACTTGTAGAGATTAAGCTATCAATTTTAAAATGTGTTAATTTGGCTAATTGGTTCTTCAAAGTTGTAGCCAAATCGAGATGGCATAAAATACTTTTTATAAAATTGAGTGTCTTTATTATTTTATAGTTTATTATTAAAAAAATCGCACCGTGATAAAAAAAATACCTTAAAATACAGTGATATTTTTGATTTTTGAATGTTTTTGTATGAACCTTCTTCAGAATAAAATGGCGATCAAATGACTATTTTCATTTGAAACATAAATGTATAACTGACAAAAATAATTATGACCTCTTTATGGCTGTGATGTAACATAAATCATACATAATCCTATAATCCAGGATCACCGAGCACAATGACGACATTCGGAAACCTAAACCAGTCAGTCGTTACAGTCAGGCATTACGTAAGTTGCAATTCCTTCACAATTGAATGGAACCATGCCAGAATAGTACAGAGAGTACACAATACATTAAATATACAAATGCACTTTTATAAGTTGATATCCATAGGACAATCCATTAATTACAAAGACTAAAACACGTTATCGACAATTTGGAAAGCATTACTACATCTGGACTTCAAATGATGCTTGGGTAAAAGTACAAAAGCATACAGAGAAATTACCAAGCATACAAGCATTTTTGTGTATTTTTAATTTTATTTCTATTTTTATCGTTTTTGGTATTCTGCATTTTTTATCTTTTTATTTGATTTGTGTGTTGTTTGGTATTTTAGTCGTCGTGTATTTTTCATTATCATATTATTTAAAAGTCTGATATTCTCTTGTTTTGAATTTTTTGTTCTAGAATCAGTATTTCAATTATATTCATCAGAAATGCATTTTATGTTCACTTGTTTTGAATGAAAGCAGTCATTTGATTGCCTTTTTATCCTAAAGTAGGTCAATACAAACCAACCGAAAACATTCAAAAATTAAAAATATAACTACATTTGAAGGTTTCTATCGTGGTGTTCTATCTAATGTAAGTTCAGTATCCAAAGAAATAATATTAAAATACTATAGATTTATAGGTTCAACTCATTTGTCTTCTACATTTACAATATTTAAAATTTGCTTTTTAATATAATCTTTAATTGTAGTTTAAAAAATTATTTGTAATTTTTTACATTCTAGGCTCATCTGTGGTTGTACGACCGCTGCTCTCCTGTGGGCCGCCGGGACGTCAGTCGAAGAATTGAGATACTGGCATCACGAATATTGGGAAAAGGAATACATGTGAGTATTTTTAATTGACATAGAATCTTTTATTACAGCTCCTACAAAATAGAATTGTAATTTGATTACAAATTGTTCTAATTTAAGTACTTTTTATAAAAATGTACTGTATTTTCGCAGAATGATTGGCATGCCAGTTAAACTGTGAGACTAAAATATAAAATTAATCATATCTAATAAAACTAGTTGTTAATTAAACATTAAAGAAAATATTCTTCCCAGTGCAATAAAATAACAATGTAAATTTAATTGCCTTACTGTCCTTAATCGTACTTTATTTTTGAAAAAATTGTTGTGGACTTATTGGATTAATAGGACAATTACACTGGTGTATTAGTTATCAACACAAGGAGGAGTTCATAATTTTTAAATAAAGATTTTTTGATTTTTCTGATTATGAATTCCTCCTTGTGTTGATAACTAATATACCAGTGTACGAGGGTAGTCCCAGAAGTACCCGACTTAACAAAGAAGACACAAAAAATTTGGTAAAACATATCTTTATTTTTCAACATAATCTCCTTTTAGCTCGATACACTTTTTCCAGCAATGTACAATAGCTTCGATCCCCTGTTTTTAGTGAGAACTGTTGAGCTTCTCAAAATAGCCATCAACTGCAGACTCCACCTCTTCATTGTTGGCAAATCTTTTATCACCAAGCCATTTTTTTAAGTTTGGAAAGAGAAAATAATCCAAGGAGGCTAAATCTGGCCAATAGGGTGCATGAGGAAGCAATTTGAACCTTAACTCATTGATTTTGGCCATTGCAATAACGGATGTGTGAACTGGTGTGTTGTCTTGATGAAACAACACTTTCTTCTTCGCCAAATGTGGCCGTTTTTTCTTGATTTCATCACACTAGCGCTGCAATAAGTTCGCATAATACTTGCTGTTGATTGTTTTTCTTGGGCGCATCCCAAAAAACTGACGCCATGACCTTGCCAGCAGATGGAACTGTTTTCGCCTTCTTTGGAGCTGATTCTCCCCTTTCAGTCCATTGTTTCGACTGTTCTTTCGTCTCAGGTGTGAAGTGATGGACCCATGTTTCATCCATGGTTATGAAATGACGCAAAAACTCGGCTTTGTTGCTGCGAAACATTGCCAAAGACTCGATTGAAACATCCTCACGATGCTGTTTTTGTCCCATTGTGAGCAAACGCGGCACCCATCTTGCACACAGCTTTCTCATGTCCAAATTTTCAGTTAAAATGCGATGTACAGCACTTTTTGAAATGCCTACCATGTCTGCTAGCTCTCGCACTTTGAGTTGACTGTCATCCAATACCATTTTGTGGATTTTTTCCACCATTTCTGGCATGGTCACCTCACTTGGTCGACCATTACGATGTTCGTCTTGGCAGCTCATATGGCCTCGTTTAAACTGTGCCACCCAATATTTTATTGTTGTAAACAAGGGAGCAGACTCCTCCAGAGTAGAATCTAGCTCAGCTGTAATATTGGTTGGACTGAAACCTTTCAAATGAAAGTATTGTATCACATAACGATGACAAATTTTCTCCATGTTTACAAATTCACTGAGATTGTTCACTATTTATGGTTGCCAAAAAAATACTATACAACGTAACGTCTTCAAACTTCAAACTTAAGCTTTATAAGGTTGATACTTTCGAACACAGTCGTTTTTTTTCAAACAAGTACTGCCATCTATGTCAGGTCGGGTACTTCTGGGACGACCCTCATAATTGTCCTATTAATCCAATAAGTCCACACAGACAATTTTTCTAAAATAACAACAATGTAGTTTGACTGACTTAAAATCGGGAAGAGAGTTTTTGTTTACAAGACAATAAAACAATTAATGACTTATTGACAATAATAGTAGGTCGGCATAGCCCACACTCTACCTACCTTGACCTTAAAAATAACACATTCCTCTCAAATTTTACACCAATTAATATTGGCTTTGTGTAAGCTGAGATGATTTATGGTGAGTTTCGTAAATTTAATATGTTTGTTTTTGCATTTTTGAATCAAATAACAATACACGTTAAAAAAGCACTTTCGTAATTCCAAGATTATTTTACATTGTTAGAAGACAAAATGAAATCAAACACCTAATTGCAGTTTCTGATGTAAAGCTGACAGTTTCAGTTTTAGAATAGAAAAATGTTCATTTTTTTTAATGCACCCTCTATAGAGGGATGTACAACCTCACTTAAACCTGCATTCCCCCAGGATAAACTGGCATGCCAATCATTCTGCGAAAATACAGTAATATCTTGGCCTTGCATTGCTTCTTAAACTCTACTTCAGAATCCTCTTTGATATTATGATAATTCAAGTTTCATCACACTTATATTGTGTGCCATCATTAAGTTTAACTGTATTAATGTGCAGCCTCTTTTGCTACATTCTTGGATGTTAAGAGACTGTTTTCTTTCATATGCTCAAAAAATATGATATCTCTGGTTTCTACTATATTTGAATCCCTTGGGGTATAAATTCTATATGTTTTTCTGTCATTTGAATACCCAACAAATATTTCTGGTTTGGTCACTTTATCAAATTTTTCTTCTTTTTGTTTAGGAATCCAATGTTGTACTTGTCAACCAAAGATTTTAAGCATGTGATGTCTCCTACCACTAAATGATTCTTCGGGTGTCTTTTTATCACACATTTTTGCAGGTGTTCAATTTTTTATGTGAGTTAAAGTATTTGTTGCTTCTGCCCAACATTTGTTGGAAGATCTGCCTCTATTAATAGGGTTCTCATTCTTTCAGACTTTGTTGGCCCCTTTAGCATCTAATCAACCAGCAAAAACGTTCAACGGATTTTGTAGATTTCTAACTCATTTCTGGGCTCGAGAAGTTTCTTTAAACAGAATCATGTCAAGAAGATAAAGTAATTCTGAATCCTGATTAAAACAGATACAAATTAACCACATCGACACTTACTTTCCCTTTTGTCCACTTGGTAATGAACTCTTTCGGTCTCGGGTCTAAATTCCATGGCCTCCAGATTATGTATAGCGGCTGCTCTTTGCCATAATCACATGCCAGTAAGTTTTTGACCTCAAATATTAAGCTTGTTAATTCTCATCGAGTCAGTCGCAGACATTACTTAAACAGTATTCTCCTCCGTTCTGCCTGGACCTATGTTTCCAATCAGTAAAAAAACAGTTTAGCTTTTGGGTTAAGAATGGAAAATGAATTAATTATTTTTTATAATTCAGAAGGGTAAAACCAAAATAAACCAACAAACACGTTATTAAATAAGCTCTCCGTTCAGTTTCGGTTAACTGAAAGACAATTTCCAACATAAATGTAATTAAAAGTAATTTTTTTCTTAAAAGCATATTAAGTAATTTCCATTGTTTCGATGGAGATGTGAGCAGGTGGTAAATCGTCACTGTGTAAGTGTTTTAGACAAAGTAGGAAAGGGCCTAATTAAGCTCTGAAAGTTATTTTCATTTACAGGAGGAGAATCAAGTCACTCCAAGAGAAAAAACCGGATGGACTTGCTGAGTGAGAATCCAGTAGTGATGAAGGAAAAGAAAATCATCATCCGTAGCAAAATTTATTTCTGTAAAATATATAGAAATACAGGAATAAAGTAAGCCTCTTTCCCGCCACAGACAGGTACAATTTTCAAAAATCGTTATTTGGACAGAGCTATGTGCCACAAAATAACCAAACAACAATAAATAAGCGCGATAAAACACATTGGTCTAAAACCCCAAACATCACAACCTAAAAATAAATAAATGAGATGATGTGTGGTCCCTTTTCTAATTTCATCTTCCTTTGTTTAGGTATTATTTGCCAACAAAATGTTGTTTTATTAAGCAGACAGTCGCACCTGGAAATAAAATTCCATTTACAGATGTTCTTTCGGTCCCTCGAAAGAGGAACGGGGAGAATTGGCTAATTTTAAGCCCTTGGACAAAGGAGTTCCCTTCCAAAAGTCGGCCCTTCTACGTAAACATGTGCCGGCCACCACCCATTCCCCACAATTATACTGGGTGGGGCAGAAAGGACGGATGTTTTTAAAATGGCTACAACTCACCACCAGGTGAAGTGACAGATGTGTAGCAGGTAGAATGAAAGTAGTGAGGTCTTAGCATTGTCTTTTCAGTTGAAGGCTTGGAGCTGTGGATGATAGATCACCATGTGTTTGCATACGACTGAGGAAACAGTCATATGCAAAGGGGATCGATCGATCGCTCAGTCGTACACGTCTGATGGGAATATGTTTCTGCATCCTTGTGTACAATGGAAATGTATTCCCATTAGATGTGTGTGGTTTCAACAGGATGGAGCAACAGCCCACACAGCTAGAACATCAATTGATGTTATTTGCTGTCTCTTCCCTGGTTGCCTCATTGCCAGGTTTGGTGACATTCATTGGCCTCCTAGTTCACCCGCTCTATCCATGTGTGATTACTTCTAGTGGGAACATCTCAACACATGTGTATATGAACATAAGCCTGTTCTTTGCAAGAACTGAAGGAAGCTATTTGCGTGGAAGTTGCCAAAATTGCCTCCAGAAATGCATCACTGATAACGGACACCACATGGAAGATGTTGTTTACCACACTTGATTCTGTAAAATGCTATTTCAGTATGAACTCACATCTTTCAAGCAAATATCTTTTGTAGTAACAATTACAGATGATGTGATTTTTTAAAAAACATTATTCTTTCTGCCCCACCCTGTATTTTGATTACGTTTGGTCTTCCAAAACCTCCTCTGAGTTGGACAGGGTCCTACAAGTTTACAAATACTCCTTAATATAAATGTCTGCTGCTAAAAAAAATAATCTTAATGCATTTCTTATATTTGTCAGCTTTAAGTCTTGCATCCGATCTGACTAATGGAACAAAATGGAAGATTTTAGAAAAGACTTTTAACCACGATTCCATTGTATATTGCACAAATAAATAAGATGATTTTTTAAACGCAAGTGGTAAAAGGGCTTGGAAAATCAATGCCTTCAAACTTTCTAAAGTAAAACGTAAAATTACTATTACCGATTTAAACTATTCAAATTACAGAAAATTGCAATTTACGTCAAAAGCCATGCCTCCTCCCGGTGGGGGCTGACTTTGCTCCCACTTTAATCTCTACTGGAAGAATATAAAAATGACATTCATAAAGTTTATTTGCCTGTTTCCGTCTTCCCTGGATTATGGATCTCTGCAAATTTATACCACATTTTTTTTCATCCAGCCAAAAATTAATCATCATCTGATTACGAGAAACAGCACCTCTTGGCGACGTTGTTGGTCAGTGATGCGGTAGAAATTACTGTCTGGCCATGGTGGCAACACACAATATTGGATCCGAGAGCCAAAATTTTCTGGGTTGAGCCGCGAGAGCAGCTATGGTGCAAAAAATAATAGGAAAATTAAATGAAACTGAGAGTTCAAATACCAAAAAGGTGTCGGTCGTCTGAAATTACTGTACGTTGAAAACCCAGAAATCTGCACTGGGAAAAGTCATGAGATGAAACACACTGACATGGCCATAATTTAAATTTGTCATCGGGACTGGCAATTATTTATTGTGATGATGTTGCCACGGCAGGCTGCAATTTTTCGTCATGTCCTCTCAATTTTAGTAGTCTTGCTCCCATACGTCATACTTTTCTCATTAATGATGGAGTCATGACAGTTATCTATCTAATTTCAACACAGAGAAAATTTTTCAATCAAAATAACATTACATATGAACTTCCGGTTTGTGCCGGAAGTAGTTAATCAGGACCTCCCCTATGGTTTTCGTTTAAGAACCCTCCGGGGTTAAGGGTACCCAAATGGGCTAGGCATCATTTAGGCAGCAAATTTTCCATTTTTTGTTTCTACCTCCTCTTACCTTCCTCCTCCTCCACGACCGGCTTCCAGATCGGAGAGCCACTCCAAAAGACGTAAGGCACAAAGGTAGTAAATGGCATCTACCATTCTGATGAGAGGTGCAGCCAATAATACTTGCCCAGCAGTATTCTCACCACCCCACCCCAAAGTGCAGAAAGTGAGTTTCCATGTCCCTTGAGAACCCTATTTTATACCATTTTTAAATTACTGGGCTGCACTGGAGACAGAGGAGCAGAATCTCTGTACATAAATTGCAACTTTTTGCACAGCAGGTGGCAAAAAGAAGTTTTAGCCACTGATACTTAACATGATGAAATAAAATAAATACTTAAAATAAATAAATATGAGGTATCCAGTTAAATACTAAGAAAAAAAAACGTAGTGCATGCAGCAGTAAAACCAATTTGCTGCCTGGACCATCCACGTGTGCTAATGCCACCAGCAAGGATGAGGCATCTGCCAAATGTTGGTTGTGTCGGTGGTGAGGCTGAAAATTTCCTTTTGGCCAGGAAGAATGCAAAAACAGAAGAATAGAAAGACATCTGTAAATGTACCCTTTTGCCGGCAGAAGGGCAGCACCCAGTAAAATCCTCTTAAACAAAAATAAGAATTTGGTCGCGGCCTTCTGAGTACAAAATGTAGCTAAAAATATATTTTCTTTAAGTACATGGTAAAAACTGCACCAAGTCAAAATTGGCAGGAAGGTAGGCATCGGAGATTGCATAGTGGAAAGGACACAGACAGGATTCGGGGTCAGTTCTGGGCCGGGGCTCCACTCTCCTCTTCTGCTTCCGTCCGGGGGGTCCTGATCAACCGTCGCGGTCCACGGTGGCCTGGTCCTTTGGGTTTGGCAAATTTCTGTCTGTGTATGTTTTTCTTGGGATGGATTTCTTCCAGTAGAAACTGTGCGGTCAGTTCAGAGCGATCATCTGTCTCGATCTAGAAAACAAACAATGAATTCTTGTTAGCAGCAGGTGATGTTGCTCATTCCACTATTTCTTAAAACCCAAACAGTTTACTTAAACAGAAGCTGTATTTAACCTACCAGATTAATCTGCCAGTCCCAGCACGCGGTCAATTTCCTGGAAACTTGGACATCGTTGCATCGAGACCAAACATTTGGTCTCGATGCAACGACATTGCTGCCGATTGGCTTTGCACCTTCCCCGATTCCACCAGTTCAATAGTTCACATTTTACTTACTTAGCAAAAATAGAAATATCCTCTGGAGCCCACCACAAACCAGTTGAAGAAGACACTGAACAAATTTAGTTTGATCAGTGCATCATCCTTGGATTAAGGACCAGATGGCCAACTCAAGTGTTGGTAGTGCCCTCGCTGGTAATGGGCAAATTCATTCATTTGGTGAGGATGATCCTCCAATGATAATATTTGATGTAGATGTAAATCCTTTGTCTTTTTTTATATACAGGAAAACTTATTTATTATAAAGTAGGCATGTATTTTATGTTAATGTGCTATAGGTAGAAGATATTGTTAAATATGAATGATATCAACTTGAATTTTTACAGTAGACCCCCCTATAAAACGGGTTCATATAGTTCGGATTCCTATATGACGATGAAAAAATTGCGACAGTATTTGTACAAACATGCTAAAAAATCTCCTATAATTCTGTAAAACGTCATCGCCGACTCGTGTCACGACAGGATTGGTCGAATCTAGACCAATAGCAGATATTGAGTTTAAACGAGCAGCGGACATACTAAAAACCATTTATTATTTAATGTCCGTAAGAATTATATTTATGTTAATGATGTCTCCAAAGTTCAGCGAATTTTTTGCAAAAAAAAATAATTTATCAGGAAGCATATGAGCGCCATTCGATGACAAGCTCCACGACGAAAACAAGCTTAAGCAATGGCGTCGTCAAACAGTGCACACTCGGTAAGTAATCCTACAATTTTTTCTTTATAACATAGTTTATATGGATTATTCCCAAAAAATTATACATATTTTAGAAATGTTGAGTCGATTTAGTCTAGAATCGATTAATTTTATGGAAGAAAATTTTTCAAACAGCCATAATCTTTTTCAAAAGACAGCTGGCATTCTAACGGATCCTTACAAATGGAACATAGCCTGATGAAGGATCCAGTGGGATCCGAAAACGTTAGCCTAATCAATTGAACATATTTCATGCTGGTTATAGGTTTGTAGAAAGTTTATTATTATATAGCCAAAGATTGCAGCACCACAACACTAGCAAAAATTTAAATATTCCGACTGGAATTCTTTCGGATAAACGACACTCTACTGTATTTACATTCTTTCACTTTGTCTGAACTTGTAAAATTGTTCCAATTATGTTATAAATAGATCACCAATCTCTCTCTACCCAGGGATTGTAGGTCCAACAATCCACTTCAGCTTCCATGCCAACAAGTGCCACATCACAGGAAAATATATCAGGATTTTTTCTCCTTCTGTTGGTTTTGTTTAATTTCTTTTAATACAACTGAGAATCTTTTGAAATATGGCAATTTTCGGTATAGAATTATCATTATCAACTATTGATTGAAGATCATATGCTATACAGTCAGTGGTATTTCACACCAAAAATTTCTCAAGCAAATTGTAAAAAAAAAACAGTAGTTTGGCTAGTGGGTTTCACATTTAGCTAAATTAATAGCAAAAAGAATTGTTGGTAAATGCTTGTCCCAAGAACCATGATCATCCCCATCTCGGATAGCAAGATATGGTTTTAGACCACACAGTTCTTTCTTTCAACTGGATTTGGCTTGTGGATGATAAACAGGTATTAAGCTTTGCTTTATTTTTAGCAGGTAACATAGCTGCTGCATCACACCACTAACAATCTGAAAACTGTTATTGCTGATTATTTGTTGAGTAAACCATAGCACAGAAATACTTCATTTAGTAGGGTTATAACTAACTCTTTAGCTAGGACAAACAATTCAACCCATTTGGTTGCATAGTTTTCACCAATTTCTTCCCAGTCTTACTTTCCGGCAATGGACCAAAAACATTGAGAAAGTTTCAAAATGCTGAGAGTTGACTGGTGTTTTCATTTCATGATTTGTAGCTATTACACTCTACTGAGTATGTAAAAAACTGTCCAATCTGCTTATGCTTCCCAGTCCAGTAATAACGTTTCACAATCTGCTATGTGCCATCAGCTCTGTAATATGCAGCTGTGGAAAAGTCATGGTACTCCCTAAATACCCTCTCATGCTTGTGCATGGGAACAACTAGTTGGACTTCTGATTCTGAATCAGAAAAGTACCTGTATAATAATCCTTTATTTATAATAAGGAAACCCTTCTCTGTCCATCTTGAAAAATCAATTTCATCTTTATTTGGATCTTCAAAGGGCTATTATTTTCTGGAAATCCTGATCTTTTAACTGTTTGCTGTGCATTTTGCCTGGGCTATGTGTTGGAAAGTTGACAAAAACTGCACACAGTTCACATGAATCCATAGTACCTTCATGACAGGCTGAACAAGATAACCTATCAGCTATAACATTCGATTTTCCTGGAACATGCTGTATCTTGATGTCTTACAGATGGTGATGTGAGCCTCACTAACCACTTCAAGGGTTGATGATCAGAAGCAATATAATTGGAATTTATTTAATGACCAAATAACTCACTCTATTGCATAGTAATTAGGCTCTACAGGAGACAGTAATCTACTTTCATACTCAATGGGATGCTCTTTTGCACCATATCCCTGTAGAAGTACTGCTCCAAGAACATAAATACTAGCATCTGTACAAATGACAAAATGAAGGGTTTCATTGGGTTGTTTTAAAACATGTGTTACTAAGCACTGTTTGAGTTTATTAAAAGCAGCTTCCTCTTCTGCATTCTATTTCCAGTGAGTATTCTTCTTAGGTTACTTAATGGTCTTGAAATGTCTCCAAAATGAGGAACAAGTTGCAATACCAGGAACATGTTTGTAGAAATGATTGCAACTGTTTAACAGTTTTTGAAGAGGGAATATTCAAAATGGAGATAACTTTTCCAGGATCTACTTCAATTGCTTTTCTTGTGATCCAATGACCCAGTACTTTCCACATGAATAGACAAAATTACACTTATCATGATTGGCATGCAGATTAAATTTTAATAATTGCTCAAAGACCCTCATCAAATCATCAAGGTGCTGTTCAAATGTAGATGACAATACCATGATATCATCTAAGTAAACTAATGTTTTTACATTTGGCAGACCATGGCAAAATTTATTCATTAACTGTTGAAACGTAAATGGAACATTTTGCAATCCAAAAGGTATTCAAAGGTACCGGAAAGTTCCAAGGTGGCACACAAAAGTTGTCTTACCTTTGTTGGGGGCACGTGTTAACTTGAAGTTAGCCAAATTTCAGGTCCAGAGTTACTTGTAAGCTGCAGGTGTGCTGTCACTCAACAGATTATCTATTCTTAGTAAAGGATAACTATCTGGCACTGTGACAGCATTGATACAAAGACGTACATCTTCACTGGGTTTAGGAACAAGTACAACTGGAGCTGTATAGGGAGATTTACTCTCTTCTATGAAACCTTTCTTCAACAATTTTTCAAATAGTTAACTTCCCTTCTAAGTATTTCTTTCCTTGCTAGAAATAAATGGTAAGGAGGAAAAGTGACTGGATCTGAATTACTTGTATTAATAGAGAGGTTGCAGCCAAAGTCAAAACTTAAAACTTGTACAGCAAGCAGAAGTCTGAACTCCAAATGCACATTGTGGTACACGTTTATGTCGTGCAATGTATCATGAGATTTGTAAAATGGCAGATGCACTCAAGAACAACGAAAGTGTCCAGCAAAGGTAAACAAATTAAACTATTTTAAAATATTTATAGAATGTTTAATAAAACTAAATAATAATGGTTATCATAATTTTAACCCAAAAACACAGATGCAGACACTTAAACTGAACTTCTATTCTCCATGCTAAACATTCAAAGCTCACATTTTAGAGAAGAAAACTTTGGCCACAACCTCACTAATATGATGTTCAATATATGGCATTGCTTCCTTTACTTTTTGAAAAACCCTTTCATATTCTAGTATTAATGCACCAAGCTGTGCTCTCTGTTTGTTGGATAAATGTTCACCAGAGTTAATTCTTGGGACTAAATCCTTTAAATCAAATTTTAACTGATTGGTGTTGACAAAGCAATGAGGATAGTCTTCTTAGACTGTAATTCTAGCTCTAGTTTTAATTTTTCAAATTCATATTTTCTTCCACCACCCCTTCTCTCATTAATAACAGTTAAAAGTAATTATCTTACAAACTCTTCTTCATAATTTTGCTATTCAATATTTTATTTTTTAAATGTATAATTTTATAATCCAGTCCTACAGTCTCTCCTAGTTCTTCAGCTACTATCTTTAAATCCTCCTTTCTACCTTTTGCCAAAAAAGCCATTCTTTGGTCATTAAAATTAATGACACTAAACTATATCTATTCAAACATATCTTCCAAATACAAAATATATTTTAATTAAGATGATCAGCGTATAACTTAATTAATTAAATATTATAGATCTTGTGGTCAGACCTTTGCATTATGCTCAACAAAGTACTAGAAGAGGAGAGATCAAAATGAAATAGCTTACCACCATGTTGGTTCACTTCTTTTTTAACAAAAATTCAGGCCACAAGTCGAGCACCAATTTATAACAGCATTTTATTTGTTCTTTCACTTTGTCGGAACTTATATAACATAGTTGGAACAATTTTACAAATACATTACCAATCTCTCTCTAGCCCAGAGATTGTAGGTCCAACAATCCACTTTGACTTCCACACCTACAACTAGCACCATATCACAGGAAAAAATCTTGAGAGATCTGTTACAATAGTAGAAACAGATAAATTAAAGATGCTTAGTTTCATAAAAGTTATAGTTAATACAAATGATATTGTCTTGATCTTCTACTTATAGTCTATTAACAAAATAATACATACCTCCCTTACATATGATTTTCAAATTAAGGATACTGTTTTGCTTGTTGTATTATGTTGTGTAATAAAATAAAATTAATAAAAACAAACGTTTTTGATCTGCACGGGAGATATTCTTCAGGTTAAAATGTTTTCAAATGTAATGTGGAAACGGAACATTCTTAAGAATATTTGAAAAAGTACAAATAAGAATTTTTTAAAATCAATTGTTCCTGTTGAAAAATAAAATTGTGAATTATTTATAAAAATATGATTAGTTATAAGATTTTTTATAATGCATCGGTTCAACTATTAATACTATTGAATTTGAAGGCTAAGCTAATGTTTTAAAATTAATAGAATAACATGTTTCTGTCCATTACCTGTGAGGATGCTATGATCCTAAGATTGACTACCATAGAGTCTATGAGAGTCTGCTATGTAGTCCTTAATCTGTGGCATAGTTGACCATCGACTCTATGTCACACGCTTTGACAGAAAGTAGGCAGTCTGTTCAGTGCCTCTTGCATCCAAGAAGTTGAATTTTTCAGGTGACAATCGGCAATGCTCGTGCACATTTGAAAGTTTGCAAAAAACAGGATGATGTGCCGTAGGCCACAAAGAAGGGGGAGTAATTGTTTCTAAACCATACACCAATGTTTTCTCTCTCAAGTTTATTTACATTATAGACCTATATACTAGACGTGGCCAAAACTAACATTGGCAAATTATGGTTACAGGTCATCACCATTTTACAAAGCAAACTACCGAACAGGTTGCCAACCTTATGGGAGAAAATTATTGTATTTTACTTTAAATTATTGTACAGCCATCTCAATCCATTACACTTATGCCCTCTATTTGTAGAAGTATTACCTAGGTTTCCATATGTCAGAATTTCTCAAACTTTTTGTCTGACACCCATTCTCACAATGACAAAATTTTTATACCCCGTTTTACAATGAGCTTTTCATAAGTCTCCCTTATCAATATGGTGTAAAACTAACCTCTGAATGGACATAAATTTTAGATTATGTTTTTTCATACAATTTCACCATATCGCATATTCACAAATGATTATTAATACAGTAGAGCATCGTTTATCCGAATCAATTGGGGACTGAGGTTGTTTGGATAACTTATTTTTCGGATAACCGATTATGTACAAAAAAATATATTAACCTATTCCGTGTTGCTTTACTTTGAATTTTCATTGATGTTAAGCCTAACGTAAACTTTTTAAAATAATAATCGTGGCTATTGTATCATTAAAAATTATTTCTTTATTTCTTACAAACAAAATAAATATATTGAAAAATACAAAAACAAAAAAAATTATATTTTAGAAGTTAATCTAGTATCAAAAATGTTTGATTCGGCACAACACACGGTCCTCAGAAAAACACCACACATCAACAAAAAAATATTGGAGTAGCCCAAGATATAGCCAAATATTGCAGTGCCACAGCACTAGCGAAAATTTAAATTTGCCGACTGGAATTCTTTCGGATAAACGACGCTCTACTGTAACACATTTCACATTCTTTATATACCATTCAAAATAAGAATGGTATATAAAGAATGTAAAATGTGAAAATATTCATAAACCTTAGTTTTTCCAAATTCTTGCCACTGTTTAAAATTTTTAGTCCATCCCGCGAGCAGTTGCAACCCACTGGTTTAAGAAATGTTGCCCTATGCCAGTTGGTCTAAAAGTATAGCAGTTAATAGATTTTCAAAAAGTATGAAAAAGTGTATCCTTATAATCGAGAATATGCAGTAGTGCAATTTAAGTAAAATCTTCCAAAAATTTAATAGCCCTCTAGTGAAGGAGGGAAAAAAACATTAATGATAAGAAAAATGGTGATTGCAAATTGGATTTTTTTATATAGTTAAGGATTATTTTGGGAGTAAAGCATATTTCCAAGATAATCATACAAACACAATAATTATCTCAAATAAACAGTTGGTAGAGATATGAGGCTTATCAACTGCAATGGAGCCAAATAATCAAGATCGAGATGGAAACTTTAAATCCCATTTTCAAAATTCAAATTACTTTCATAGTTTAACTTTTTTCTTTTGAGAAATCCATATTTTTATTTTTGATCTATACTCACTACCTATAAATTTGCCACCATTATGCATTTATTTCTGTTCACACTTAAGAGAAATTTATCATAACTTATGCATAAATTGAGTAAATATAAATTTATAGTGCGAGTTTTGTCATTCTATGATACGTAGAAGCAGTACAAAAAAGTTGTCTAGATGGCAATTATTTTATAATTTTTAAACACTTATACATCTAACAGTCAGTTTGTAATAATACTGGAAAATAGACATTACACAAAGAAAAAATACTTATATTAATAACAAACTTTATAAATATATATTTATAAGAAATGGAATACCTTTTTAGCTATTTCAATTCCTATTTTATTTTCGATGACATCCAGAAGTGGACTCTTACAACTAGAATACAACATCCTCTCTTTAACGGAACATTCGTATCCAGGTGTGGAATATATGAATACTGATCAGAAAGAGAGAGAGATTCCATTAAAAAAAACAAAGTGGAAACTTTTTGTTTAATTTGTTCTATCTATTACATAATAATTAGTTACTTTTCAGAATGAAATGTGGTTTTGACAGTTTAGTACCTACCTACTTGTAAATGTTTTAAAATTTTATATATAAAATGTGTTCTTATGGTGCTTTAGAAATTTTATAATCAAAACAGATTTGACTTTTCTGTTTGTTTAATCTGATTACAACTAAATTCAGTCTATTACTCCCTAACAAAGTAGCCATTTGTTATATAGAAATTGATTTAAAAAAATAGAGCATTGGAATTCAGTATTGAATGCTAGAGAGTATCTGGATGAACTTATCTATATATTAATATGAAAAATTACATGTCCTGACTGACTGACTGATTCATCATCACTCAGAGCAAACTGCTGAACCTAGAGGTAAAATTTGGTACACAGGGTATGTCATGAAAATGCACACTAAAAGAGATTTTTCGAAATTCCCCCGCAGGGGAGAGGAAGAAGATTAAGACTTAATCTGAAGAACGTCTTCTACTGTACTATTTTAGATGCGATTGTTTGTATTTAACTATGCTTTAGTAGGGTATGCAATGAGAGTGCACACTAAGAAGGGATTTTTCGAAATTCCCCCATGGGGAGAGGATTAAGGTGTGGTTGTTTGTAACAAGAGATTTGTAAGTCTGCGAATAAACGTTACAAATAGGAACACAGGAACAAAAACGTGTATGATTGTTTAATACTCTCTGAACACGGTTCTTTTGTTACAAAGATCCCAACTTAACAGGTTCCTTTATCCTATTATCCTCACAGGGAAATAGGTCGCCTCCTATTCTCGTACAAGTATATAATATACATGCACATAACACAAAACCTTGATAACCGACTTAAAAATTAATCTTATGCCTACCTTAAAACTAATATAACAGGGAAATGATTAGACTTAGGAAAGTATAGAAATAATAAAGAGATAGATAGAGAGTACCCGGGTTCACGTTGACTGATCGATATCTTCGGGGAGGTGCCTTTTCACAGACATGATCTTTTATACTTTTTTACTGATTCAGCAATTTGTTCTCGAGGTTCTCCGATTCTTTCAGTTTTCCTTAAACCCTCATGCTTTTCCCTCTCCTATACCTGCTGTCTTCTTCCCACCTCTCTCTTTTCAAGCTTCACTCACTGCACTGTACATCCATTCCTTTTGAGGTCCAGCCAAAAAGTGTTCTCCTCTCTCCCTTCTTCTTGCCTCAGGGTACATTTTCTTTTGTTTATTTCCCCAAATTCAGAAAAGTGCTAATACCTTACTCCTTCGGGAATACGTGGCAAAGATGCATGGTTTCTTATATGAGATGTACAGAATAATCGGAGAACTACGAAGAAACAATGCAATAACAGAAGGAAAAATAAACAATGTGAGACATCAAGAATTAAACATTGAACCACCAAAGTTTTCTCAACCGACATATGCTCAAATACTTAAAACAAACAACAAGGCAAGTAACATGACAAAAATAATAATGAAATCACTCGCCACTAAACTTCAAAATGAAGGGTCAGGGGGAAACCATGCAGTATTGGTGTACTCTAAAATAACAGAGCAGGGAGAACAGAATGATATAGACACCATAGTTGCAACAATAATGACAGAGATTGGAATCAAAGTGAAAGATGTCAAAAGAGTTAGGAACGGGGGAGTTTGCTTTTGTGTCAGAAATAACATGGATGGACAGAAACTACTCAAGGCCATAGAAAACATGCAAACCATTAAAGACAAAATCAGATGTCATATTGCGGAAGGAAAGACACCGCGCATTATACTTTTAAATGTCCCATACTCGGTAGAAACAAAAGATCTTATGGACATTACTTATAACCAAAATGACATCTGGGAAGATATTGACAGAGAAGAATTCTTTAGCTCCTGCAGGATTAGTACAGAAATCAACAAAGGCAAACTACAAGAGAATTGCCGTCACGTTGTTTTGTCGGTTACGCCACACATCCATAATTTAATAATTAAAAACAAACATCTCTCCCTATCATGGGCGAATGCCCATGATAGGAAGAGATGTTTGTTTTTAATTATTTGTCTGGTTCTTTAATTATATAAGAGTTGATGATAATGTTCCAATTCTCTGGTGCTTTAAGTGCATGGGCTTTAATCATATGGCCAGAGACTGTACAGAGTCCATTCACTGCAGCCACTGTGCGAAAGAACACAGATTCAACCAATGCAAGGAAAAGCAAACCACTCCTTGTTTGCCCCAACTACATCAGGTTTAACAGAGAGCAGCAAATGATTAAAAAAGTTCCAACAAATCATAATGCCTACAGCAGGAACTGCCCCACACTGATAAAAATAAGAAATCAAAAGATAAGACAGACGGATTATGGGGTCTAATAGCAACAATAGTACCACTATGCACTCGATAAATACTCAAAGGAATCATCATAATCAACAAAACAGGTACTACAATAATAAGAATATAAATTTTACCATTCTGAGCATAAGCATACAGAGGTCAAAGGCTGCATCATCAATTCTCCTAAAAATAGCAAAAGAACAGAGCTGACATTATGTGCATACAGGAACCATACCTCATGGCCAACTCCATTGTCAGGTATGGCAGTTGGAGAGTCTTCCCTCATCAAAACTTCACCGAAACAATGAAAACTGGCATTCTCATAAAAAACAAAAATATTTGAGCTAACTTCTATTTCGATCTCAGCTCAAAATAAACTACTACAGTACTGCTCACTTTAAATAAGAAAGAGTTATACATATCATTTGTATACTGCTCACCATTTGAGTGTATCGAACCTCTTCTAGATAACCTACAAGAAATTAATAACAAGATCGGAAGTAAACCTTGGATTATAACAGGCTACTTTAATGCCAAATCACTGACTTGGCACAGTCCTGAAGAGGACGGAAGAGGTTGTCTACAAATTTCTGTCAGTTAATCACATGGCATCTTGTAATACAAGTCCCTTGGTGACTTACTGCTGTACCAGAGGTAGGAGTTGGGTAGACATAGTGATTGCTAATAAACATGCTCATAAACTTATTGATTCCTGCTATACAATAGACGGAAACTGAGGAAGTGACTATAGATACATCAAAACAACCATTGTTAATACTGGTCTGTCATTAAAAAATTACAACCTAAAGAAGATTACTAATTGGACACAGTACCAGGAACTTTTCAAGATTCATTGGGCACAACCACAGGATCTCCATGAAATTGAAGGCATTGACACATTAGCTGCCCACCTTACCACATCAATTATCACCACATCAATCCACCACAATTATAGAATCAAAACGGTCAAACACCCCACGGTGGAATAATTCTTTGAGTGAGCAAAGGAAGAAGGTTCGTAAGCTATACAAAAGATACCAAAAAGAAAATGATCCTATAATTAAAGATACAAAAAAGAAGGAATACTTACGGGATTTTAACGAATACAAAACTAGCATAAATAAAGCCCAAACGATAACGTGGAGGAATTACTCCACTGAAGTCGACAATGGATCAACATGGAGCGACCCGTACCATATAATTTTAAAACCAAGGAAAACTATCATACTTCCAGCATACATAGACAAAGAAGACAGGACACAAACAACGAACATGAGAGAAACCTACCACCATCTTCTCAACACTCATTTTCCAAAAGACAACAAAGAAAACGACAATGAAGAACAGGCAAGCATCAGAAACTCAATTGAAGCTCCACCAGCAACAAACAATGATCCCCTTTTTACTTTTAAAGAAGTTGAGACAGCAATAAGGACTATGAGAAACAAAAAAGCTCCAGGAATAGATACAACAACAGCTAAAATGGTGAAGAAGGCTTTTAATGCTGTACCGATCACTTTCATTTATACATACAATAAGTGTATGGCGCTCTCTCAATTCCCATGCATCTAGAAAGCTGCAGCCATCCGTTTTATTCCAAAGACAAGCAAAACCAGCCATAGCAATGTCAATGGCTTTAGACCAATAAGCTTATTACCCACATTGGGGAAAGTCTTGGATGGACTTGTTATAGGAAGAATCAACTTTCACGTATACAGTAAACAACTACTACACCCAAAACAGTATGGGTTTGTTCCCAAAAAATCTACTAATCATGCCTTACACAGTGTCACTCAATTTATTCATGATGCCTGGGAAAAATCACATCATGTCCTCCTTACTTCTATTGATTATCATAATGTCTTTAACACTCTTTGGTGGCCAGTGTTACTTCGACAGCTTAAATCATTCCATTGCCCAAAAAATTTATATCTATTAATGAAGGATTATCATAATAATTGTACGGTTGGTGTATATGACATGGATAGTCCACTTATACCACCCATGACAAGAGGCTGCCCCCAAGGATCTTGTTCCGGCCCAGGATTATGGAACATCATGCACGATAGCCTTCTGAACATCAAGCCTAATAATATAAATGCACAATGGTCATTACAAGCATACGCTGACGACACTCTGATTATGATGGCACATAGGAATAGTGAGCAAACGCAAACTGAAGCTAATAAGTTACTAAAAGAAGTAAACAACTACAGCATAAACAATAAGCTCGAAATAAACATCAATAAGTCAAATTGCATGCTCATGACCAAAGGTAAACAGCTTCAGAAACCGCCATCATTAAAAATAAATAATACTAGAATACCATACACAAAGGAAATGAAATATCTTGGACTTATCCTGGACCAAGGCATGAAGTGGAATTCCCACATTGATTACATTTGTATGAAGGCAACAAAATTATCTCACCTCCTTTGTTACGTAGGGGAGAAAAAGTGGGGTTTGAATAACACTACCATGACCAACATTTACAATCAAGCCATAGAACCGACAATACTATATGGATCTCATATAAAAAGAGTGCTCAAAAAAATTTAACAGATTAGTCTTTTACATATAACAGGAGCATACAAGACAACATCTATAGCTGCTCTCCAGGTTCTGGCAGGTCTCCTACCGCTATATTTAAAAGCTAAAGCTAATTGGGCACTGGAGGCTGACAAACCTCGACATCCCGGATCAAAAGAAAATGAATCTGTACACTTATTTAGATATTGGTAGACTTCCTAACTTGAACAACAACAATCTTTTCCAGCCGAATCTGAATATAGACATTTGGAATACTGCCCCACCTCGTCTTCATCCAGCGAAAGAAATTAAAATTACAGTAGAGCCTCAATTATCCGACTCAATTGGGGACTGGGGTTGATCAGATAACCGGAAAAAATCCATTATTAGTGTAGTATATCTCTATTAATCTACTTCGCGTTGAATGTTCCTCCATGTTAAGCCTATCAATTTTTTTAAAAAAATAATAATCGTCGCTATTGTATCATTAAAAATTAGAAAATTAAGCCTCGTTTAAATACTGGCTCCCTTTCATGGTCGAATGAGTGTTGCCAGCTAAAACATGTAAAAATAATATTAAAGTAGCCAAGACACAGCCAAATATTGTAGCGCCACATCACTAGCGGACATTTGAAATTTGCCGACTAGGACGGTCGGTTAATCGGGGGTCGGATAATCAAGGCTCTACTGTAATGTTTACTCGAATAACGAAGATACTGAATTCCCTCATATGATATTTACGGACAGTTCAAAATCTAACAAAGGTGTAGGTACAGCTTTCGTTCACTATAAAAAGAACACGAATGGACAAATTCATAAGGAAACTTACCAGCTGGCAACCCATTGCTCGATCATGCAAGCTGAACTTTTGGCAATTCTGAAGGCTTTACAATATGTTAATAGTAACGTAAAAATCAACAATACTCATGTAAGCATCTGCTCAGATAGTAGAGCTGCTCTTCTTAGTATTTCAAACAATAAAAATAAAAACAGCTTACTTTGCCAAATCTCAAGAACTAGCAAACAATAAAAACACAATTGCTTTACAATGGCTATGTGCCCATACTGGAATACAGGGTAAAGAAGAAGCGGATAAAGGGGCAAAAGAGGCAGCTAACAGCTCTTCAGAACCACGTTTTCATGACATTCCAATCATTTCAATAAAAACACTTATCCAACAAACAACTATTAATATGTGACAGAGACTTTGGGAGGAAGAGACAACAGGATGAATTACCAACAAGCTGGTTCCTAACATCCCAATTAGGCTTAAGAGCGAACATTTTAAAGTGGAATTTATTGTAAGTCAGTTATTCACCGGTCATGGGAACTTTCTCTCTTATCACCAATGATTTCACCATAGCAACACCTCCACTTTCAACTGTGATGGATCCTCACAACAGGACACTTTCCACCTAATCTTCGACTGTCGTCTCTATCGCCAGCAATGAGCCAAGTTATACCAAACTGTTCTCCTAGAAGACTATAATTGGCCATGTGCTTCTAGTGCTCTTGTATACAACAAAAACATCTTCAGAGAACTGTATTCATTTATAAAAGAAACTGGTGCTCTAGATGTGCATAACAGTATTGTGAGAGCCGAATTTAGTGAAATAAATTTTTTAATATTTTAGGTGCCAACCCTGCGGTCACGGTATTGTGGAGAGCGAAACACCATCTGCTGGCGAGACAACGAGAGCGGGACGAGACGTGACTTCGCGAGAGGAGACGACGGTTGAAGAAGACGCGCAAAAAGACGAAAGACGAGAAAGAAGTCCTACATTTGTTCTTTTTATAATACTCACAATATATTTTTATGTAATTTGTATTCCTTCAAACGTTCCTGTTATCCACATCTTTCTTGTTTCAATTAAAGTTTTTCAAAAGACAAAGAAAAGTCTGACAGTATTAATTGAAATTTGTACGCGCCTCCTTTGGGAAATTGTCTGTCAAGGCATTAAACCTAAGACTGGTGCCTTTGTCTTTGTTCTATTTTAATACTTTGTAACAGCAAAGAACGTGCTGCCGTGATCTTAAATTCTGCATCCTCTTTGTTCACAACTGAATGTAACATCTCATTGTCGGGATTAGTTTCATGTTATTTTCGATTTTATACTTGTAACTCCAAGTTATATCCTTTGCTTTACACCCAAAAGGGTGCTGCTGTAAAATATCTCTTGTTGCACCATTTGCAGTTATCTTATGTATTACCCTCAGTACGGGTATTTTGTCACACTGTTAATGTATTTTGTTAAATAATGTACTGATGCTGACGTCCATGAGACTTCCAGTTTTATTCCCTTTCCTATTTAACTTTACTTTTTCCCTTTGCCTCTTCTCTTAATTCTTTTCCACTTAATCCATTTCAAACCAGGCAATACCTACAAGTGGCCCTGGTCTTCATCCCCTTTAAGTTAGAATGTATCTAGAATGTATCCATTGTCACACACATCATGGATGGTACTCACATCATGCCCGACAACTGTGCACGTCAACAAACTGAGCTTGTGCAGCTCCAGTATATGGTCTCGTTAACAAAAAATAGTTAATGAATGGTAAACTACTGTCTTCAAGATTTAATTACATTTACAAACATACTTGGTCCAAAGTATTATATACCAAAGAATGTAATCGAGTAACAAGAGGATACTTTCCTACAGAATCTTGTAACTCAATCAGGGATTACTTTGACATAATTTATTGTTCCAAGCAGCAAATACTAAAATCTGCATTTTAAATTTTCGTCGACTTTTGTAAACTGGAATTTGTCCTTATCTCAAATTATTATAAAATTGAAATAAAATTAATGATAAAATATTCCAAAGCAATCAGTGGATCAAGAAATACTTCATTTTATTTTTATGACTTATAAAATGTGATCTTAATCATTAAACTGTACAAAGTATGAAAATTTGATCTACAAAAAGATTATTTTTATAGAAAAGATTTGGATGTGGTATCTGTTTATTGTTATTCATTTGATGGAGATACAAAATATCTCAAAAACCACTTAATCAGAATGAGCTGCATTTTGTTAATTAAAATATAGTTTACTTTTTTTTCATAATTTCTAATGAAAAATAGAAAAAAAATCATTTCAAAATATTAATATTCTGTAACATAATATTATCATGTACTTAATTCCATAGTATAAATATTTATAAATTGGTCTTTCAAAATTTATGTAGATACTTAACTCTATATTTTACATTTCTCATATAAGATTATACAAATATTTTAAGAAACTGAAATATAAAATTCCAATGCATAATCCAGTAAAACAACTGTCATTGAAATGGCTGGCATTCTATTGAAGTTCTCAATATGATTAATTTATTATTTAATACAAAACAGTCATCCTAATAAAATATTATAAAACACTTATTTTTTAAAAATGTTTCAAAACAAAGTTTACACTAACCTTTACTTAATAAATAATCGCCTTCATAAGAATGTGGAAAACAAAATAAATGATATCTAGCATGATCACGTGGAACTCTGCTGGGAAGAGAGTTGATGTTAGTGTCATCACAAGATTCCAAATTAATTTCTTCTTTGTCAATATCTATACTCTGTAAACAAAAATAAATCTAACCTTAACATCTTCAAAATATGTATTACTTAAATACAAATGTAAATTACCACAAGACAATTTGATACTTAATGAAATGATTAAGAGCGCACATATCCCAAAGCCCAATGTATTAACAATTAGCCCGATTGATTATGGTGATCGTTTGGTCTATTAATAATACATCATGCTGGGTTAAAGCGATAGCTGGCTGGGTGTTGTGGATGATTTTAAGGCCAAGGGCATAAGAGTTGTCCCAGTTGGCACCACGAGTAACCATGGATGGTGTGAGGCCCCAGAAATAGTTTGTAATTAAAAGACAAAGTAATTTAATAAATTATTAAAGTAATGAGAAAATAAATAAGTGTTGAACTGGCAACACCAGACTTTGACATCATCACACATATATATTAGAGAGAAGGAAATGGAATTTATAAACAAAAGAAATAGAAAAGGGAAAAGATTAAACTTAAATGCAATAAAAGGAAAAGACAAGGATAAACCTTCCCAGGCACCTTTCTCACAACCCGAATGGTCTCGAATTCCACCTGGAGACAGGTGAGAAACCAATAGGGGAGCGAGAAAAGGGAAGTCCGACCAATGGGAAAACAAATAAAAAATGAAAAACTCCGTTGTCCAAGGATGGGCACTGGCACATTCCTGCTATTCCAGTCACAACCTTCTCTCTGTCCCATTACCAAGTGTGTCCAGCTTATTGTTATTCCATGTGCCACCTCTATACTTCAGACTCTAACTCACCGCTGCCCCATCAGGACATCCAGGAACAACTCCACCAACGGGACATTGAAATCTTGGTCTTTATTGTATGTATCTTGGTCTCAATTATATGTAAGCATAAACTCTGAAAAATTCTTTGTGAAACACTTGTAATTTTTGCTTTTACCTTCGACACCCACATACACAAAGACCCTAGGACATCCTGACAAAAGAGTAAAATTTTAAAGTACGTCCCTCTCAAATTGGCGTACTTACAATGGTTATATCTAAGATTAAATATGTCTGGAAGCAAAGAATCACTCGGAGATCTGAGTAGCATAACTGGCAATGCATCTGCATGGTAAGTGGAAGTTGCATATTTGATTCCTGCTCTGGGCAGATTCTTTTCTTCCAGAATATTCTAAATTAATCCATAAATATTATAANATAGCTGATGATCTTATAAAAGAACAAATGTTACTAAGTAAAAATTTAATTTGGTTTCCAAAGTTAAGCATTAAGCATTATTTTCTCATTTTTTTGGCACGCCCCCTATAGTAGTGAAGTGCTTATGTTAGGACACAAAACGACTTCCAACAACCTAACACTCCGTTGAGTAATTACAATCCACGAAAACCTTTTTGTATGAGTGTTATGTCATTAACCAACTCCACAAACGCTTTCGACCTCCACTGAGGTCTGCTTCAGGTGGTGACTGACCGTCGTAACGATGTCGCCAGAGATGTAAATAATCGTGTGCACCTTTGAGTTGGTAGTCAACTAAAAGGTGATTGGTTTCTTTTAGGATGCCATCTACAAGTTATTTCGTGAAACACAGTCTGGCCTATGGCACCTGATGTGCCCATACTTATTGAAAATAAATGTTAATAATGGATATTGGTCATCTGGATTAAGAGTTTAAAATAATCATGATGTCACAGAACAGAATGTTTATTTTGAAAAAAAATAGAAAAATTTACTCAAACTATACAAAATCAAAATGGTATCACTAGAATGATTATAGCAATAATAGATTGGTAGTCAACATGTTAACTTATAAATATATTACATACATATATGTATGTAATAAATATATGTTATAAATATATTACATACATATATGTATGTAATATATTTATAAGTTAACATGTTGACTACCAATCTATTATTGCTATAATCATTCTAGTGATACCATTTTGATTTTGTATAGTTTGAGTAAATTTTTCTATTTTTTTTCAAAATAAACATTCTGTTCTGTGACATCATGATTATTTTAAACTCTTAATCCAGATGACCAATATCCATTATTAACATTTATTTTCAATAAGTATGGGCACATCAGGTGCCATAGGCCAGACTGTGTTTCACGAAATAACTTGTAGATGGCATCCTAAAAGAAACCAATCACCTTTTAGTTGACTACCAACTCAAAGGTGCACACGATTATTTACATCTCTGGCGACATCGTTACGACGGTCAGTCACCACCTGAAGCAGACCTCAGTGGAGGTCGAAAGCGTTTGTGGAGTTGGTTAATGACATAACACTCATACAAAAAGGTTTTCGTGGATTGTAATTACTCAACGGAGTGTTAGGTTGTTGGAAGTCGTTTTGTGTCCTAACATAAGCACTTCACTACTATAGGGGGCGTGCCAAAAAAATGAGAAAATAATGCTTAATGCTTAACTTTGGAAACCAAATTAAATTTTTACTTAGTAACATTTGTTCTTTTATAAGATCATCAGCTATGAAAATTATCAAGTGAGTTAGAACAAATACATTTGAAAAAGAATATCTCTACATTCAAAATTTTCAACTTTAAAATTTCAAGCAAAGTTATAATTATTAAGAAAGTAATAAAATATGAAATTATAAACAAACTGAATTAAATATAACACTACGACATTAAATGTAGATTCAGGACCACCCTTAATATGACAAACAAATATCACCCACATAATGAGCCTGCTGCTAGATAATGCTGGAAAATTTTATTTAGTTTATATATAGTGATTTTTCCTGAAACTAAAACAGATGTGTATATCCATCTTTTTGGTTTCAAGAAAAATCACAATGACAGAAAATAAAGGATTTCTCATGTTTTCTACAGATGCTATTAGTGACTTTAGAGAAAGGAAAAGCTGTTTGATGAGTTTGTAATTGCAATTTTAAAATGACATATAATCCAATCCAGCGTTTCTCAAACGTTTTGCTTACGTGACCCAATACATTTTCTGTAATGGTTCTGCGAACCAAATGTTTACCAGGTTTTTAAAAATTTTATATTATAAACATTTGGATCACAGAACCATTACAAACAAATATATTGGGTCCAGAGTTTCTCAAACAAAACGTTTNAAAAGCTGTTTGATGAGTTTGTAATTGCAATTTTAAAATGACATATAATCCAATCCAGCGTTTCTCAAACGTTTTGCTTACGTGACCCAATACATTTTCTGTAATGGTTCTGCGAACCAAATGTTTACCAGGTTTTTAAAAATTTTATATTATAAATTGAAGTCACCATATATTATATAGTAAAATAAAATTATATGTTATCGATAATAACTTCTACGAGTGAATACTTAGATGTAACATCAAGTTTATTTCTATTAAGAGCAGTTCAGGCCAATTTTGATTTGTAACAAATAACTTTGTTAAATTTCAATAACTGAAATTGAAATATTAAAAATGTAAAACTGACAGCCATAACCCACAGCCACTTTCAAATGAACTTTTGAACAGAGGTAACCCAGGTTATCCATATAAAAATTACAGTACTTATCAACTTGATTATTAACTTACCAATTGCACATAGTTAAGAATCCCATTTTTCATATCAAATAATGCAGCTATTGCATCATCAGAAATTGGAAAAACTATACCTTGTAGAGTTTGATGTCTTGAATCAATGGCTATATCTACTCTAGACTGAAAAAAATAAATTACAACAATTAATATTAATATTGTAGTTTAAACATTCTAGTATAAAATAAAATATTTAGTAACTATTCATACAACGTAATTCAAATTAAACATAGCTGTATTATGTGCGAGGTCCCAGATAGTAATAAAAATTATATGTTTTGAATGATGAAAATCCGGTGAGTTAGTTAAGCTCTCACCTTTCAGAATTAAACAAAGCAAGACTTAAAGTCTAGCTTAAACAATAAAAGTTCTTTCCAACAAAATGGAAAACAAAGGGTTTGAATTGTGAGGGGAATATCAAAGTCAAAGGAATTTTAGATGAACAGGAATTGGGTTTAGTCATGAAACTGATCTCTCCCACACCCCAAAAGGTGTCAAATTGTCACCAGGTGACAAGGGGAGACCAATCATAATGCGTAATCAAGGGGAAAAACTGATAAAAACGCACGTTTCAAGGACACAAGTTTCTTTGCTCCAAACCTTTTGTTTTGTCATAAAAATCTGTAGTTTGACCTTTCATATATCTCTGAGAGGCATTCAATCTCCCAGAGTTGTCGTGCTCTTCAAGCTTCATCCCTGTGACAAGGACTATCCTTTTCCAAGCTACAGTGTGCCCCAGAGCTGACGAATCTGCCATGACCGAAAAAGACACTCTTGGGAATATTTGTGACTTTATCGGACTCTATCCTTGTAAATTTGTTGATGGAGATGTAGCGATATTTGTAAGAAAACCTTTAATATTCTTTTTAAATGAGTAAAGATGGTAAGCTTGTCTCCATGCTAATTTCAAGCACACACACGATTGTCTTGACACCTCAACCATCCCAACAATCATATACAGTTGGCAAGCCTTACAATGGTGTCAGAATTTGATTTTAAACCCAAAACCACACTGGTGTTAAAGGCAGTAGTGCTACTCACCATGAAAAGGATCACACAAAATCAAAAACGGGAACATTTCTCTTGAGAAAGAAGTCGGCATAACTTGGCCACTGAGACAGGTGCCCCATCACGAACACATTGTAAGGAATCAAGTCCGAGCATTATTTTTATTTACTTTTATTTTTGTTTGGGGCTTATGTTTTGTTGGGACGAAGGTTTCCTCATCATTCACCTTAGAAACTTAAAAATAGAAGAGAAACCAACTCACCGACGAGAGAAAAGCACCGTAGGAAAAACTCGTGCACACTTGCGCTCCCGAGCGGAATAAAGTAAGTCCACACCGAGAAAAGGGGGAGACCCCACAAGCATAACTTAGGACCTTGCCAAACCTTAAAGAATAAAAACATCCCAAAACTTGTCAAAAAGAATAATGTAAAAGGTTAGCGAGTATTGTCGGAAAATAGGCTGCCAGACACACAGAAAAAGTTTATTGTTAGCAAATAAGTATGTAAATGAGGGGAGTGATCGCACTCAGAATTGTGACGTCACCTCACAGTATAAAGACCAAACATAAAGTGAAGATGGTCAAAGTGAACTTCTGTTAGCAACAAGCATGGTGAGCTATGTAGCAGTAAACGAGAGGTGTCCGATAGGATGAAGTAGTTCCAAGGCGATTTTGAAGTTATTCGATTTGTGGATCGAAGATTAGAGAAAGTCTTGAGAGTTGAGGAAAAAGGTTACTAGTATATTGAGGTGATGATTAGGATCTTTAATTCATAAGAATTATTGTACATAAATTAAGTCTTTGAATTTTTTGTCGAGTTCCAAAGGGGAATAGATTTAAGTTAGAAAATAGATTGATTTGAGTTTTGTCGAGTTGATTCTTATTGATTTTCACTGAATAAATTGTTATTTGATTTTTTACTAAATTTTGTATATAGTTATTACTAGAATATTTATTAAATATTTGATTATTATTGACTAATTTTATCATTATTTAATTCGGTGCACGCTTAAAGTCCAGGCCTGGCACACTAACACGAATCCGCATAAAGTACCCATTAGGGAACGGCTATTTCCGGCACACAGTCGTGTCGATAATTGTTGTGGAAAGTCAGAAAAATAATATAGTACTTTACATGATGTAAGCAGAGGCTCAATTGCAACTTTTGGAGGGATGATTCCAACCTTTTCTGATGAAAGCAGGCATATCACCAACTTTTTTGATAAGTTGGACGAGGTAGCTAGCTTAGCAGGCTGGAGTGCTGTTGTGCAGGCTGGACTGCACAACAACACTTAAACATCACAAAATGCAAACTTGCAGGCATAGCCCAAGACTTTGCCTGGAGGGACATGCAGATGAAAATCATGATAGAATACAATGACTTTAAACACCTAGTGATAGAGCGATTCGATTGCAAGCTGTATCAAAAAGTTCCACACTTGCATCCAGCAACAAGAGGAAAGGGTTCAGGAGTTTGCAGTTAAGCTGCAAACACTAGCCAATGTGACAACTATCCAACAAATGGGAGCAACAGAACAGGGGTACTATCATAAAACAATGTCAGCAAATGGAGCTGGATGAAAAGCTCCACATCCAGTTTCTACACTGACTGAACAAGAAAATTAAGCAAAATGTAATGTTGCAGGATCCCATCATGTTTTCAGAAACTTTGAGGGTTGTGATCAGAGGAAACAATAAAACAATTGATGGGAAAAAATCAAAATTTCATTGCAAGAATAGAAGAGGCTCCAGACATGCATCAAAAACGTGGACAAAGAACCTGTGCTTTACACGAAAATCAATCAAACTGCTTCAAACATTAGGGAAAAAACTTGAGAATCAGTCATCAACAGGACCGATAAACAACCCGCATAAGGAAGCATACAAGCAATTTAAGTGAACAGCACCATCCATGAAAAGACCAAATTTCAGAAAGAAAAAAGTGCAGAATTATTTGAACTGGCAGCATCACACACTGCCTGCAAATTTTATAAGACCGCTGAGTGTGCAAACACCAAAACAACCACCCGTGACATATAATCAAGCACTCTATTGGCAATGCCATGGACTGAATCCCTTGCCCCATAGACAGGTAGAAAGGGAAGAACCTTTACATTTCATCTAACCATATCTGGTATGGCCAGAAATAAAACATAATGATCAATTAATGTCAGAAGAGCTGACTTCAATAACCCCTTTTTCACTTTGTTGTGTCCATATTATACAAGTTGTGCACCTTTTTATCAGGCACAGTATAGGCAGTTTGAACAAAAAATGATCAAAATTGGGAATACTTGCCTTATTTTTTGGCACATTATGGTGAGGATTGGCCTGAAATAAGTTTTGGAACCCAGCGAACAACACCTATCAGCGTGACCACCAGTTAACTTTGCTTTTTTCCTGAGGGAAACCTCAGGCAAGCAGATAATGAAAGGAAGAAAATCAAGATGATTTGAAAGAGAATTGTGCCAACAAAATAATTTTGGTAAAAATTAGAGAACAACCTTGCAACTTAGAACAAACAAGGAATAATTCAAGCGATGCAATCCCACTAGCAGGAATCAGTAGATCAAAGAGCAGAGAATTGCCTCCATGCACCTAGTCTGTGAAATAGAAAGTAAAAGAGCACAACTTATGATTGATACAAGTGCAGCCGTTACATTAATATCAAGATCCATTTTCCAAGGTGTAAGCAAATTGCAAGAAGCGGAGATGAGCATGTTAGACTTAGTTTGTGTAACAGGTCATGATAGAAACAATCAGGGAATATAACATAAAGTTTAGAATTGGTAGTTTAGCATTTTCTCATGAATGTTACATAGTAGACCCTAAAATAATGGAACCAAATAATGGAATTTTAGGAAGGGATATAATAGAGAAGTATGATATAGCTATTTCCATTAAGAATGCAAAGTTAATACAGTAGACTCTCAAAAACTCGGCCTAATGTGGACCGAAGGGTGGCCGAGTTTGTGAAAATGCCGGGTTATCGGGAATGGGGTTAAAAAAAATAAGTACGAGTGTTTCCTCAGAAAATACTGTACTGTACTTGTATGTATTGTTTACTTGAGAATACAACAGAGAAAAAACTGCCCAAATACCCTTAAACAAAGGAAAAGTACGTTTTCATTTTCACGTAGTAGAGCCTTTACTACATGAAAATGAAAATTAATGAATACACTGTGTATAGTAATTTACCTGATAAGACAGACCTTAGAAAAATACTTTGAGGCATAAAGCTGTCTTTATCATGAAAATTAATTAACTAAGGATTTTTTTGCCCTGCCAGGGTGTGGCCAAGTTATCCGGAGTGCTGGGTTATTGAGTGCCAAGTTTTTGAGGCTCTACTGTATTCCCAATGGGCAAATGGGATAACCTTCTGGGGACTAGCAAGTTTTCACAATAATGTTAGTAATTTGATCAGAGTAAGTAGAGACAATAATAGACAGAAAGAGAAGTGCACAAGTTTCGAGGAAAAATCGACCCAATTAAATATAATTTCTGCAAGAATGATAACAATAATGCTAAAAGTAACAATAATAAAATGAAAAGGAAAAGAAGCTGCTCATGAATAAATAAACAGAGGAGAGTTCAGAAACTTTAAACCATAGGTCAATCAACAGACAGAAAAAACAAGAAAGAAAGTGATACTACAAATGATGCCAGGGTAGGTTTTGAAGTTCCATCAACATCTCCAGGTCAGAGTTAAGAGTTGGTGTCGGGTTGAACACCTAAGATTGACCTTTCTCATGATCCAATCTGATCTTATTTCCACCTGCAAATAAGGGAGGAGACCAATCAGAAAACTATGAGAAGGAATTGGAACCAATCAAAGAAGGAAATTTTGGGATGAAATCCTTTAAATATCAAACAACAACACATAACACTGGGGCATATTATATAACGTACCCTGTCAACCTATGTCCAGTGTGTGACAAAAAAAAACAAACTAGAAAGTTTACCATTAATTTTTTCGAACCTTTAAATATCTCAGATTTCAAGAATAAAGTGTAGATTTCTGTCATTTTGTGCCATCCAAAATGACCCATGCACTTTCTCTTCTTGTTCTGCATGCCATTGTCCTCACTGAAGTTCCTGATTTCACCCTGCCTGCATCATCTTGTGTTCACTTTGCCATTGTCCTTCATCCACCAGACTTGTTCAAGACACAGCCCTGAGATTGTCGACACCTACAAACTATCTCCAAGACCAGCGGGATTCACCACGAACTTTAATAAGGTGCTACCCGAATTGAGAAAGTGTAAGCCCATCTTATATAAAATAAACAGGTTTAATTTGTAAAGGCACTAATGTCAGTATGTCCAACATCACTATCCACATACAGTTCTAAACCCATTGTACTGTACATCCTGACATGAATTTAACTAACTCTCCCTTTCTGGGTCAGCAAACTGTACAATATGGTTAATAATTTAAGATCCTCACTAATTAACTTACTTCATTTTTTTTAATCATCTGTAACTCTTCTTCTGCAAAAGTCAATGGAGCAGGATCAGTTGCTTCTCTTAAATGCCTATGATAGCCTTGTAAACTAATATCTTCCTAATTGAAAGTTGTAATTTGTAAATAAATAAAATTTTAATTTTAAATCCACTGTTTATTTCTAACCTTAGTTGATGCAAATAATTCATATTTAATTTGTCCTCCACCAAATTCTTTCTTAAGAGTTGCTTTAGTAGAAGCATAAAGCATTTTTTCTCTTACCTGTAAAAAAGCACAACATAATTAAGTTCATAATGTTAACATCATAAAACTTTACACATATTTTACTTAATTAGCTGTTTTATACAGATTTTAGTTAATTAACTAATATAAAATTTCAACTTTATTTTTGGTTATTTAGTCTAAAAATACATTTGTTGAAATACACTCAAGCTGATTTCATGTAATGTGTATACAGTTTATTTACAAAATAAGATTTACAGTACATCACCTCATAATAAACCATTTAACATGTGCAAAACTAATGTTCTGGACAAATGTCAGGGATTAGACTTTCCCTTTACAGAACCTTTAGAGTTTAGACTGGCTCTATCTACTCTTCTTCATAGCTCAGTATCTCACCTATATCTGAGCACTTTCTCTTAAAGGAGTAATGTATGTCTTTATTCTCAGCAAACTTGCCTGGTATTTGAGATCAAAGCAAAATGTAACTTCTTGTCTCCATCCACAATCATCCTCATCTAATATCAACTTCCCAACTTAGGAGAAGAAGTCCTTCTCTTAAATTCTGAGAATCCTTAGCGCAGCTTATTTTTATGTCTCTTAATCTGAATATGGGTGATCATCCTCCACTTATTTACTTGATTATTGCATTTTACCACTGAAAGTAGTTTATGACCAGACAAAACTTGAGTTGAATTTAAGGCAATAAAACTGATTTCTTGCTTTACATCCTCCCCAACTGCTGTGAGTAGTTTTTCAAAATAATAATAATAATAATAACTCTCCCGTGGTCACCACCTGGTCGTGGTGGGAGAGCCCGGTAGTTTTACAGATCCATAGAGCAATGCAGGCTGGAGCACAAGCTCCTGGTAGGGACACCCATGCCAGTAAGGTCTATGGGGAGAAATGAAGCTAAGAGTGACCACACACCCACATTCTGTGGAGATAANAACTGAAAAAAGAGATTGTTGAGAAATATGAAGGTGGCACGCGTGTTCGAGATTTAACGAGATTTAACTGTTGCATTCCGTATTCCGAGAATGACGATATCGACAATCGTGAAAAATAAAGACTTTATTCAATTTGCTAACGTTGCGAAAGTGGTTAAATCAATTTATAAACAGAGATCGAAGACATTAGATCTTGTCGAGAAATTGCTTTTGCTTTGGATAACTGAAAAACAGTGTGCCTGCGACAGCGTATCGGAATAAATTATTTTCGAGAAAGTTAAAAGGATACATGCTGATCTCATGAAAAATCAAGCAGAAACTAGCGAGGAAAGCCAGGTGTTTAAAGCCAGCCATTTTTTTTTTACATGAGAACGGATTAATCGTTTTTACATTACTTCTTATGGAAAAGGTTGGTTTGGTATACGTCCTATTCGGTATAAGTCCAAACACCAGGAACGGATTAAGGTCATATACCGAGGTTCCACTGTATTTTTTATTTTAATTTCTATATAGTTTCCTTTCTTTCCTGTGACTATTGTTTGTCCCTTCTAGAAATTTCCTTCTCAACCCTTTCTTCTTGGGTGGTGATGACTAATCCCTTGGAACAAAAGAGAGGAATGCGGCCCTGAGGGCGATGTGTATGAACAACGGTCATTCTTAGCTGGGACTCCAACGAGGTAGGACGAAAGGAATGGATTCTCTAATGCGTTTCAGCAGTGCATAGAGAAGAAGTCGGATGAAAGAATCAAGAAAAATTCAATCGAGAAAGATTATTGAGCTCCAAGATTTCCATCAAAGTGAACCAAGAAGGAATAAGAACTATCAAACAACTCCAAAAGAGCAAGCATTATGGAAATCCACTACCCCAAGATCATCACCAGTATTTGAGTACCCACTTTCCTCTATTTTATCATTGGTTTCTGATTTTTAAATTCTCCCTCACTTAGTTGTAATTAGTCGTAGTTAGTTGTAAGTGCGTAATTATAGTCATAATATATGTATTGCAAAATTACTGAAGACGAGAATTGATTGTGTCATGTAAATAGAACTGATAACAACTCAATAAAAATTGTAGTATGGCTCATATTATACTTTTGTACTGGGACAGAGAATAGCTGGCATCCCAAAAACCTGTCTGAATTCATGCAAAATAAAGATATTTTTTATATAGTCATATCTTGTAACTCTATTCACATCTCACATCACAAAAACAACAAAAATTATTTAATTTTATATTTCTAATATAGATAGTTGATAGAGAATGTCTTCATGGAGTATCCGTACTCTACAAACCACCAGTTGCGAAACACTAATCCAAGATATATAATGAAACAAAGCATTAGCAAATAGTATATATATATATATAAATGGACGTGTGTGTCCCTATATTTCACTTTTTAGCCAAAACTACACATCACACATGAATGGTGTTTGTATGTAGTAGTAGCCCCAAGTCTCCATTCGTGCACTATGGTGGTTGCGTCTCGATAGCTATAAGGGTGCGGGAGATATGGGGTTGAAAGTGGTTGACTTCAAAGATGTGTAACAATGGAAGTGTCAACAATAGAAGTGTTAACAGTGGAAGTGTTAACAATGGAAATGTTAATATAAAGCAGTATGCAAGATTTACAGGCAGTTTTTTGCGGGAAATCAAACATATTTTTAGACTCATGTACAAATTCTCTAATTAGTCTGGAAACGGGGGACCTAATTCTTGCATTCTGTGAAAACGGGTAAGATTGGCTATAATGTAATTCTCTTAATCTTCACTATCATTACTTTTTGCCCACAAATAAAAACCCAGCGAAGCGGGTCCTTGCAGCTAGATTCTAGATTACTTAGAAAAACAGTCTTTTATATATAAAAAAAACTATATTACATACAAACAAAAATCCAGCGAAGCGGGTTCTTGCAGCTAGTATCATTATAAATTTATTTTCATTGTAATAATAGAGGACTAAGTATTTTTTATTATATTCTGGATTCCTACTCAAATTTTTGTTTTGAATTCTGACTTTCCGACCAACTTTGCCCAAATTCCCTGACTCTCACGTTTCTTACGGTGTGGAATATTGACATAATAAAACAGCATTTTATTTACTGTGAACATTGAGTACAGTAGACCCCCCTATAACACGGTAGATATGTTCCGTGTTTTATGAATTCCATGCTATACGAGTCACTTAAATACATGAGCCAATCACAGCCCAGAACATATGCAGTTTGGGGACTACAGCTGTTTGAAAGTTTTCTTCCATAAAATTAATCGATTCTAGACTAATTCGACTCAACATTTCCAAAACACATATAATTTTTTGGGAATAATTCATATAAACTATGCTATTAAAAAAAATTGTAGGACTACTTACCAAGTGTGCATCATTCGACGATGCCATTGCTTAAGCTTGTTTTCATCGCAGAGCGGCACATCGAACAGTGGGCGCGTGTTTCCTAATAAGTTATTTTTCTGCGAAAAATTTACTNCAAGTGTGCATCATTCGACGATGCCATTGCTTAAGCTTGTTTTCATCGCAGAGCGGCACATCGAACAGTGGGCGCGTGTTTCCTAATAAGTTATTTTTCTGCGAAAAATTTACTGAACTTTGGAGACATCATTAATATAAATATAATTTTTATGGCTGTTAAATAATAAATGGTTTTTAGTAGGTCCACTGCTCATTTAAACGGTTTGTGTAATATCCACTATTCGTCTAGATTTGACCAATCCTGTCGCAACACGAATTGGTGATGACGTTTTACCATATTACAAGAGTCTCTTTTAGCATGTTTATACAAATACAACCGCAATTTTTTCACCGTTTTATACAAATCCGTATTATATGAATCCGCTTTATAGGGGTCTACTGTACTGTACATCTATCCCTCTTTTTGCACAGTTGATACATTTCAAAGACTGTGCAAAAAAGTATAGTACATGCATCCTGTAGAAACATATTTGATAGGATCCACAACTTCAATGTAATGAAAAAATAAGCAATTTACAAATGAAACATGAGCTTCTTTTATTTTATTATCAGTTATTATTATTTATATGTAAATCTAGTACACACAAGGAAGCATAAAATCAACAAACAGTATTCTCTAATATACAAATAGTAATGTACTGTGCTTAAAAAAGATAAACTCTTGACTTAGCAACATGTAATTTTAAAACCAATCTTTCAACAAAAAGGGCAATGCTTTTAAACAGAAACATAATTTAAACAAAAAGTTAAATTTAAAAATTTCAAATAAAGCATTTTTTCCCACATAAAAAAGCGATCAGGCTACATAGTTGATATTCAAAACTATAACATACTAGAGTATTACTACAGGTATGATCAATATTGACAGTTTTTAAGCCCTAAATTTTCCAAAATCAATGATATTTGTTACCCAACTTTGTCTATTAAACTAATTATTAAACTATGTATCAAAGTGCAGGAAATTAATGAATTCTGCAGTCTGTTACAAAAGTATAAATTTATACCTTAATAAATTTTATAAAAATTTTAATATACTGGAAAGAAATAATAAAATATGTTTTGTTACACAATAAAAATTATTAAAATAAAAAATTATAAATATCTGTAATTTATTGATATTTATCAATTTTCGCACTTTGTTCTCATTTTTAAAAATCAATTTATTGATACCTTATTTATTAGGAATTGAGGGTGTGAACTATAATTTGTAGGGGGTCGAAACCTCCCACAATTAGTACTGTAACATCAATTAAAATTTTTCCAAAATATTTTAAAATATTTTGGAAAAATTTTAATCAATGTTACATTATCAAGAGTATTGCAGATTATTCTCTCAAATTCATGATAAAGCATTTTTAAAATCTCAAAATGTTTAAAATTTAAAAATGCTAAAATTTAAAAATTGATCTGGCAGTATATTATCTTAGGGACTGTTTGATCCTTGGAGTTTTGCAATACTCTCTTCAGTGTTGCATTTTATAATAATTCTTTACATAAACAATTAATTAATGTTGGTTTACAAATGACCTGCAGCTGTCAGTAAAAGTAAACTTTTGTATTAACTGTCAAAACATTAAACCAAAATTTAAAAAAAATTAAACTA